ATTATGTATTATTATTATTATGTATTATTATTATTATGTATTATTATTATGTATTATTATTATGTATTATTGTTATCATTACGTATTCTTCTTCTTCCTCCTCCTCCTCTTCCTCCTCCTCCTCTCCTCTCTCCTTCTCTTCCTCCTCCTCCTCCCCTCTTCTTCTTCCTCCCTCCTCCTCTCCTCCTCCCTCCTCCTCTGCCTCCTCCTCCTCTTGCCTCCTCCTCCTCTTGCCTCCTCCTCCTCTGCCTCCTCCTCTGCCTCCTCCATTCTTGGAACAAGTTTGAAGAGCTTGTAGTTCATAATCACTATCATTATCATCACCAATGCTCACATCTGAGTCTGGGATTTTGGAAAATAGGAGTTTCCTCTTTGATTCTGGTACAACTGAACGACAGCCCAGCACCAGAGGTGGAAGGCTGTGGGTTGTCTGGGTTTTCCTCACTATTACCCATATTATGGTCATTAGTTTCGGTCAAAACCTCACCAGAACCTTGAAACTCATCTTCACTGTCACTTCCATCTGTATTAGAACTGTCACTGGGGAACAAAAGTGTCCCAATTCGCCGAGGAGTGAGGAACTTCTTACCGCAGGGCACGGTGGAAATTGTGTACTATGATGGCATTCCCACAATGCACCACTGGGTCCCAGATTTTTTTCCTACTGCGCACACCCACCACACAGACCCATTCTCTCACATCTAGGCTTATCAGCCTTTTCCTGCGAGATTTGAGGCCGCTAGAATTTATGCGTACTAGTACGTCAAAAACCCCTACTCGTAAGACGTACTAGTACGACCAAAACCCTCAAAGGGTTAAGAGATATTATTTGTTGGGTATGGCTATCTATGACTGTTTGGATGGTCTTGTCACAGTTAGTCATTCCTGGTGTTGATAACTTTTGTTCAAGACTGAGGATTTTGTTCTCGAGTTGTGTCATCCTGGTGTCTTGTTTTGTTAGCGTCTCTCGAAGATTCATATTTTCAATAACTAAGTTGGAGATGCATGTCTTTAGGGTATCTGGATCGTTGGTCATACCTGAGAGACTACTTGGTAGGTTGAATCCGGGGAAGAGAGGGGAGGGTGAGCTGGTGGCAGCCATGTTTGTTGTTATTCTTGTGGTGTCGCCTTGAGCGGTGGTGAGTGGGGTGGTTGCTGGGCCGGCGTCCTCCTGACTACACTTGTTGAATAGTTGATTTTTCGGTGTTTTCTTGCTGGCCTTGGTGCTGTTTCCTCTTAGATTGCGCCTCATAATACTACAGGAATTGTTGTAGTTAAGAAGAAGTTGTAGTTATACAAAGCTTAGGGTTACGTTGTTCGGCTGGCAGCGGGGTGTTTCTTTCGGTTTGTGGGCAGTCTTCCTTTGATCTCTATTATTTTCGATTTGTAAGTTTCACTGTTGGTAATCTTTGGTCATTCTGGGTGCTACGTTGGGTAGTGCAGCTTTGCTTGTAACTAGGTCATCATAGGAGCATTGGTAGCTCTGATTGTTGGAGAAAAGTACGGAGCTTGGAAGTCGCTGCTGCCGCTGCCGCTAACCTAACACAATGAAATGTCACTTGTTATCTGACGTTGTCATAACACCATTATTGAAGGAGTTCATATTATACTCCAGGCACACACAGAAGATAGAAAGACAGATAAGCTGAGCTGGACAGACAGATAAGCAGAGCTAGGCAGACAGACAGATAGATAGATGTACAGATAGACAGGCAGATAGACAGACAGACTGACAGACAGACATACAAAGACATGTTTGTGTGCAAGAGTAAAAACATATAAAGGCAAGGTTCCCCCCTCCAGCAGGGCACATTCATCAAATGTCACTTATCTGACCCTTGTCATAACAATATTCTTCAAGGAGGTTCATACTCCAGCATGTCTAAAATATTGCTGGGACCTATAAATACTTTGTATATATTTCTAGACAATAGTAAATGACCAGGGCAGGTGAAAATGTTCACCTGTCAGTGTGATTGTTACAATCTGAGCACTATTTCAGTATATAATATTGGTGTAAAAACAAAGATTGGCTATGAAGTCACAAGAACTATTATAAATTGTAATTATCAGAACATAGAAATTATATAAATTAAAATAAAAACAAGGAAAAACAATAAATTGGCAACACTTCTGCAAGCGACAGGACTGGATGTTGCTGTCAGGTGAGCATTGAGAGACAACTTCGTGGTCTTATATCTCGGTAAGTACTGGTCCTAAAATTTGTTTTGGGTCTTATACCACACAGGAAAGTGCCCTCTTTAATTTGAAATAAAAAAAAAACTATTTTTTTTATTTTTCAAAATATTCGATGCGCCACACAGGTGAACGTAGATCTACGTTTGGACAGTTTAAGGGTTAAGCACTTATCTAATAAACTTGATCGAAACCTTGCATGTACAATATTTTTTTTTCCAACAAACTGGCCATATCCCACTGAGGCAGGGTGACCTAAGAAGAAAAATGAAAGGTTCTCTTTTTAACCCTTTCACTGTCGGTGCCGTAATATTACGGCTTGCAAGCCAGTGTTGGTGCCATAGTATTTCGCCAAAATTCTAGCGCCTTCAAATCTAGCAAGAGAAAGCTGGTAGACCCACATGTGAGAGAATGGGTCTGCATGGTCAGTGTGCACAGTATAAAAAAAATCAGGTAGGCTGCAGTGCATTGTGGAAGTGCCAATTCAGTACCCTTGTTCACTATGCCTAGCGGTAAGGAGTACCTCACTTCACGAAGAATTGGGACTCTTCCCTTCCTAAGTGATAGTTCTAACACAGATGCAAGTGTCAGTGAAGATGAATTTCATGGTTTTGAGGAGTCTGTGACTGAAAGCAATGCCCAGGATACCAGAAATAGTGCTGAAAACCAAGACTGCCATCAACCTTCCACCTGTGGCGCTGGGCCGTCTCGTTCATGTTCAGTTGTACCACAACGAAAGAGGAAACTCATATTTTCCAAAGTTCCAAAGAATATGTAAGTAAGTTAGTCTATTCAGGTATACACAAATACAGTTACATAGATTATTATACATAGCAGCATATATGTAGAGAAATTAGGATAACCTAAAAAAAAGTCAGACAAAGTGACTTATTTCCATGTGGGTGGTGGGGTAGACAGCATGGTTGGTGGGGAAGACAGCATAGTTGGTGGGGAAGACAACATGGTTGGTGGGGAAGACAGCATGGTTGGTGGGGAAGATGGTATGGGTAATGGGTAATGTTACAATTTGGATGGATGATATACATGCAGTAGCATGTGGTGGTGGTGGTGGTGGAATGTGTCATATAGCACCAGCAGCACCCCAGGCTGGTGGCCATGCCACTGACTCAGCACAACCACAACAAAGGCCAGCTTCGACCACCCACACACCACAACAAACTGCACAACCACAACAACCCACCCACAAAAATGCAGAGACATTCGTTTTATGTATGAGGAGTTAAAAACAGGACTATGCATAACACCATGTTTCAAAGAGTCCCACAAGCTGCATCACTTCTAGGAACATGCTGAGTGACTCTATATGTGTATATGCATATATATTATAGAACAATAGTAATAAACAACTTTTTTAATTGCTGGTTTGTGTAAACAAGTTTTGTAAACGATATAATGATAACAATATTTGTGTAGTTATTGTGTTGCATACAATGAGTGGATATATATACAATATGCATTATATTGGTTTCAGAGGCCACAAAACTTATTTGAAAAATAAAATATTAGAAAAGAAAAGAAAAAATAGAACAAAAGTAAAAATAATATTACTGACTGAGCAGCAATCAACAATGCTGACATCAGTGGTTCACTTTCTGTCCGCTTCATGCCTCTATATCTCTGTAACTACTGATCGCAATTTTTTTTCTTTTAAAACAACCAGAAAAATATTCTTAAGATTTTGGTAAGAAATTTATTTTTTTGAATATTTTTTGACACTGAGAGCAAGTTTGTGATCAGGGTTCTTGAGGTGAAAGGGTTAAATTTAACCCTTTCAATGTTGAGATCCCTGCTCAGAAACTTGCTCTCAATATCAAAGAATTTATATTAAAAAAAAAAACTTATGAAATGATAGAGAATCTTTTCCCAATGGTATTGACACCAATAGTATGAAATTTGATGGAAAACTTATGGAATTACACTTTTGCAAAGTTAGAGGTCTTTGTGATACGCATCGGCAATTTCGTCCACTTTGAGCCCTATTTTCGGCCAATTCCATTGTTCCAGTTAACCAAACTCATAGCTATTTCGCTAAAATTCTATTTGTTCTATCGAGTGAGTACAAGAAATTGCCCATATACTGACTTCAACTACCCAGTAAAGTGGTCACAAATTGGCAATTTGGCCAATTTCACACAAATTTCAAAAGATGCCAATTTCAAAATAGGGTCCAGAATAAACAATGCAGAAATTCCTGGCAATAAAATAACATGAAAGTTATGACACATGTGCAACATCTGTATATGTTTATTGTAGACATTTCACCATCCAGTGGCTTTAACAATACAGATTCTAGGACATAATTAGAAGACAGTAGAACTATATTCAAAAGATGATGTAATCAGTCCCTCAGCCTTGATTTAGTGTTCACAGCATCGTGGTGATGGAGAATCTCCAGATTCTCCACCACCACGATGCTGTGAACACTAACTCAAGGCTGAGGGACTGATTACATCATCTTAATATACGTATTATCCTCTAGAAAAATTAGCTCAAAGAATCTATTTTAACAACTTAAAAATAAAATAAAATTCCAAGGATTTCTGTGGTCACTCAGTTACACTGAGAATGTGATCAAGAAATCACAAACTCTCAGAGAGTTTCAGTATAAATTTGTTAAATTGCACATTAAGGTATCATGTGTCGATTTTGGTCCTGTTACGCCCTTCAGTGCAATTTTTTTCCTTTACTGTAAACTAAAAGAATACAAACTGATGATGTATTAAGACTGTTTATATGATTTTTAAAAGTAAATCAAAAGAAACATTTACAAGCAGAGTACTTACAAAAACATTTCCCTTGTGATCAGTCATCAAAACTCTGTTGTGACCAGAGTCTGACACAACAAGGCCTCCAGGGTGAGTGGTTATTTTCCCAGGATACAGTAAACTGGAACCAGTTGCTGTTAAATGTCTTGATGGGGCCAGACCAACTGCACATTTGCTTAAACATCTAAAAAAAAAAAAATAAAACAATAAAAACATACAGTATGATTAAAAATTGAATTGCTTGACAATTATGTTAAAAAAAATCTTGGAAGCTTCAAAAGCTGCCATTATATAACTCACGTGATTATCTACTTGTGAATACATATTTGTAGTTAGTTACAGGAGGGTGAGTTGTTTGAATGTTCAAAGATGTAGTATGGATGCAAAGAAAATTTTTATTGTGAATATTAAGAATGAAATGAAGCTGGATGTCCAAGCTCTAAGGAAAACAAAGCTAAAAGGTATACCAGATTTTCTGTGGAGCAATTACCTCCAAGAGGGGGGAGTAAAAGGGGCATGACCCTTCCTTTCTCACACTGCAAGGAAGAGGCAAGTCACTCGACATGATCACATCAAGGCACCCTTCCCTTAACATAAGAACATAAGAACGAAGGAACACTGCAGAAGGCTTACTGGCCCATGCGAGGCAGGTCCAAGTCTCCTACCGGCTTAAGCCAATGCACCCAACCTAGTCAGGTCAGGTCACATTGACTTAAGGGAGGAACACGGCAACCGACCTGGTAGCACAAGCTATCAGGTCTAACTCACACCCACCCACATCCACTCATGTATTTATCCAACCTATTTTTAAAGCTACACAACGTTCTGGCCTCTATAACGGTACTTGGGAGTTTGTTCCACTCATCCACAACTCGATTACCAAACCAGTACATTCCTATATCCTTCCTGAATCTGAATTTTTCCAACTTAAAACCATTGCTGCGAGTCCTGTCTAGGCTAGATATTTTCAGCACACTATTTACATCCCCTTTATTTATTCCTGTCTTCCATTTATACACCTCAATCATATCCCCCCTAATTCTACGTCTTTCTAGAGAGTGCAGATTCAGGGCCCTTAGTCTATCCTAAATAGGGAAGGTTTCTGATACATGGGATCAACTTTGTCATCCTCCTTTGTACATTTCCAGAGAATTTAAAATCCATTCTGTAATAAGGTGACCAAAACTGTGCAGCATAAATCTAAATGAGGCCTAACCAAGGATGTATAGAGTTGAAGAACAACCTGAGGACTCCTATTATTTATGCTTCTTGATATGAAGCCAAGGATTCTATTAGCTTTTATTGCGAACACTTATGCACTGTTGTCTTGGTTTCAGATTACTGCTAACCAGAACTCCTAAAATCTTTTTCGCAATCCGTAATATTAAGATCTACATTATTTAGTTTATATGTGGCATGGTTATTGTCCTGTCCAACATTTAGAACTTTGCATTTGTCTATATTAAACTGCATCTGCCACTTCTCCGACCACTGCATCAGTCTATTCAAATCTTCCTGGAGTGCTCGAATGTCCTCGTCAGAATGAATTCGACGGCCTATTTTGGTGTCATTCGGCAAACTTGCCGATGTCGCTCTTTAATGCCCTCATCTATGTCGTTTATGTAGATTGTGAACAGCAGGGGGCCCAACACTGACCCCTGTGGAACACCGCGTCGTGACACTTCCCCACTCTGATTTCTCCCCATTTATGCAAACTCTCTGCTGCCTATTTGTCAACCATGCCTCTATCCAGGAAAAAATTTCTCCTCCTATTCCATGTGCTTTAATTTTCCTCAATAGTCTCTGATGTGGGACCCTGTCAAAAGCCTTACTGAAGTCCATATACACAATATCATATTCATTACCATGATCTACCTCCTCAAATACCTTAGTGAAAAAAGTTAATAAATTCGTAAGGCAGGAACGCCCCTTTGTAAAACCATGCTGAGATTCGTTGATTAATTTATGCTTTTCAAGGTGGCTACGAACTGCCTCGGCAATTATTGATTCCATAAATTTTCCCACTATGGAGGTTAGGCTTATTGGTCTATAGTTCGAAGCTAAGGACCTGTCACCTGTTTTGAAAATAGGTATCACATTGCCATTTTCCACTTATCTGGCACCATGCCAGTTTGTAGTGATATGTTGAAAAGATTAGCCAAAGGTGTGCTAAGCTCCTCTTTACATTCCTTTAGAACCCTTGCATACAGTTCATCAGGGCCTGGGGATTTGTTAGGTTTTAATTTATCTATTTGCCTAAGGACCATGTCACTTGTGACCCTAATAGTACACAGTTTATTATCGTCCTGTTCTACATAATTTATCATTACTGGAATATCGCTGGTATCCTCCTGTGTAAAAACTGAGAGGAAGTATGTGTTAAAAATTCTACACATTTCCTTATCACTGTCAGTGAGCTGACCCGAGGAACTTTTGAGTGGGCCTATTTTGTCCCTGATCTTACTTCTGTATACCTGAAAGAATCCTTTTGGGTTAGTCTTCGATTCTCTTGCAACTTTAACCTCATAATCTCTTTTTGCTTTTCTAATTCCCTTTTTTATTTCTCTCTTTAACTGAATATATCGATTTCTCAATTGCCCCTCTCCTCTTTTGATTTGCCTATATATGCCTCTCTTTTGACCAATCAGATATTTTAATCTATTGTTCATCCATTTAGGATCATTTTTGTTTGATCTGATTTCCCTATTTGGAACATAATTTGACTGAGCAGCTAGAACTATGCCCTGGAAAGCATCATATCGGCAACCATCACCACCTACCTGACCCTTAGTCAGGTCATTCCAGTTCAGCCCACCTAAGTAATTTTTCAGTCCTATGAAATCAGCCAAGCGAAAGTCAGGGACGGAGACTTGATTGCCATTATTAGGGGAATTCCATGATATATTAAAACTGAAAACTCCTTTTCTAAGACATTCTAAATAAGATATTAACCCTTTAACTGTCAACACCCTGATCTCCACTAGCTCTCCAAATATTTTGAAAAAAAAAAAAAAGTTTTTCTATGAAAACATGGTTAATTTTCTGTGTATAATAAGACCAAAATAAAAAAAAAAAAAAATTAAGGCAGCAAAGTTGGCACTGGATGAACATAACATAAGAAAGGAGGAACACTGCAGTAGGCCTGTTGGCCCATACTAGGCAGGTCCTTTACAATCCATCCCACTAACAAAATATTTGCCCAACCCAATTTTCAATGCCACCCAAGAAATAAGGTCTGATAACTCTATCCACTCATATGCAAGTCCCACTCAAATCCAACCCCTCTCACTCAGGTTTTTATCCAACCTAAATTTGAAACTACCCTAAGTCCTAGCCTCAATAACCCAACTAGGTAGACTGTTCCACTCATCAACTACCCTGTTTCCAAACCAATACTTTCCTATGTCCTTTCTAAATCTAAACTTGTCTAATTTAAATCCATTACTGCAGGTTCTCTCTTGGAGAGATATCCTCAAGACCTTATTAATATCCCCTTTAGTAATACCCATCTTCCACTTATACACTTCAATCATGTCTCCCCTCATTCTTCGTCTAACAAGTGAATGTAGTTAAAGAGTCTTCAATCTTTCTTCATAAGGAAGATTTCTAATGCTATGTATTAATTTAGTCATTCTACGCTGAATGTTTTCTAATGAATTTATGTCCATTCTGTAATATGGAGACCAGAACTGAGCTGCATAATCTAGATGAGGCCTTACTAATGATGTATAAAGTTGCAGTATAACCTCTGGACTTCTGTTGCTTACACTTCCTGATATAAATCCCAATAATCTATTTGCCTTATTACATACGCTTAGGCATTGCTCTCTTGATTTAAGGTTAATGCTCACCATAACCCCCTTTTCACAATCTGTATTGCTAAGTTCTACATTACAGTGGAACCTCAAAAATCGAACGTATCACATATCGAACATTTCAAAAATAGGACCATTTTTTCGGACAAACTGTGTCCCTATTATCGAACGCGCCCCTATTTTCAGACCGCCGGGTACAGGACCTGTCTGCCGCCTGCTCTGTCCACGTCCCTGTGCAGGCACCGTGAGCAGTCTAGCTTTGTTTATGCTTGAGTGAACACTAATCTGCGCTCTCATTCACGCATTTTACAATTATTTCGTTGTGGTTAGTGCTTGTGGGACTGTGAAATAAGCTGCCACGGGCCCAAAGAAACTTGCTAGTGGTACCCCTGTGGTAAAGAAAGTGAGAAACACCATAGATGTGAAGAAGGAAATAATACAAAAGTATGAGAGAGGTGTGAGACTTGTTGAGCTTGCCAGGAAGTATGGGAAAAACAAGTCGACCATCGGTTCTATCCTGTCAAAGAAAGAACAAATCAAGGAAGCTGATGTTGTGAAAGGTGTTAATATAGGGAGTGGATGAGGTGCCTTCTTCAAAGATTAAGGAGATTTGTGCCAAGTGGAATGATGTCCACCAAATGTTTGTGCAGAAGTACCATCCTGAGCAAACTGAAACAAGCCATCTTTGCAACAAGTTCAGTGACAGAACCATGTCCCATTTTAGGGAAATGTTAAAGAGGTGCCAGAAACAGAGGACTGTGGACAGTTATTTTGTGAGACAGGGGTCCAGTGACTCTCAAGCTGGTCCTAGTGGCATTAAAAGACAGAGAAGGGAAGTAACCCCAGAGAGGGCTTTACCTGAAGTCCTCATGGAGGGGGATTCTCCTTCCAAACACTAACCCCAACTCCCTCTCTCCTCCTCCCTATCTTCCAGATGCCATCACCAATCTTCAATAAAGGTAAGTAAAAATGTTATTTTATGTGTATTACTATACATAATTAAAAACTATAGTATTTGTTGTATGTAAAACTGTAATTAATCACTCTAAAATGTATTTTTTGTGTGAATATTTTTGAGTTTCTGGAACGGATTAATTGTATTTCCATTATTTCTTATGGGAAATATTGCTTCAAATTTCAGACTTTTCGAATTTAGAACTAGCTCCTGGAACGGATTAAGTTAAATTTTTGAGGTTCCACTGTATTTAACTTATAAGTGCTAGGGTTATGGACACTCCCGAGCTTCAGAACCTTGCATTTATCTACATTGAACTGCATCTGCCACTTTTCTGACCAAGAACAGAGTTTGTCTAAATCCTCCTGAAGTTCCCTAACATCTATGTTTGCATCAATTACCCTACCTATCTTT